TTTTGATTCCCCCTTAGAGGAACAGGGAAACTGAAAATTATGTATTTCCTTCAGCATACTTTGGAACATATCCTGTTGGAGTCACTTGTTACAATGTACAAAGATCACTGGTAACTAAAACCAGTTTCTCTTGCTTTCCGTGAAAATTTTCTTCCTTTGGATTAATTTTTATAAAAGTGGCAGAAAAATAAATCATTGCTTTAGGAAAGAACTGGCTTCGCAAATAAATAAGAATAGTGTTTAAGAGAAGAAAGATTAACTGCATAGGGTTATTTTAGCAAATTTTTTAAGGAGAGTTGAATATACCTAGTTAGATCTTTAAATGTGTTGCTATCAAATATTACTTGCTTTGCAGGAAAAGTTTTCAAAGTCTGGACCAACTTTCAGCAGAAGTTAGTCTTTCTCAGTCCTCTCTGGATCCAGGTCACTCACAGGATGGGAAGCAAGATGGAATTAACTTGTTAAATGAAGGTACAGAGCCAGTCTAATGACCTCCTTTAATTTTGCTCTTCATAGCTCTGAACTTGTCCCGTGAGACAAATTTTCAGTGTGAAGAAAATACACATTGAAAAACATATTTTTCATGGTTAAGCAAAGTGTTTCAGTTTCCCTAAGAACTCCAAATAATTTTGGATTTATGAAGATACACACCCCACTCCTCTGTATCTAAAGTTAAGCTTCAAATGTCTTGCACATCTCTTCCTTTTCCATCACAGAACCAGTCAGCTTCACTACAAGGAGGATCTGCTGACATCTTTCTGCTATAACAAACTCTTTGTTTCCTTTTTTTGGTTTTAAAAGCATGATTAAATGCACTGGATTTGCAACTACCAGTGTCATTCTTACGTCTTGCACTTAACATTTATCTGGAGATGCAGCCTGACAGTGTTTCCATTAAAATAGAGGAACATGATATGAACTGTTTATATAAATGTGGTATATGCACACACCCCTTTCAAACCTGGATGTTTATCAAAGCTTAGCTGCTCCATCTTGTGGGCAATTCTGAAAAAGCAGGAAAATGTTGGAAGAATTGTGAAATAGTAGTATTTTGGGTATAGAATATAAATTGTTATAAAAGAATCCTTTTTGTGTCTCATAAATTCTAAACTTTAAATAGATTTGCCAATACAAAACCTTAGTGTTACGTAACTGCTAAACTTTCTTTTGTTTTAAATATCAAGGATAAAAAAATTTGAATTTTTTTTCTTTTAAATTGTAAGCAGTAATAAAATCTAATTTAATTCAAGACTGATTTCAGCCCAGCCTGTAAGGCAGGGATCTCTGTACCACCTGGATAGGGAAGGTGTGGTGTAAGTTGTCTTCCCAGTTGCATTATGAAACATGCCTGTGCTGAAGCATACTATGGAATTCACAGTAGTGTAGATTAAACAACTTTTTCTGTTCTCTCATTTTTTTTATGGTGAACTAATCTTCTGCTGCAAAAATTATTAACTTAATTCTTATTTTTCTTCACAGGAAAGGAAGACACTCCATCATTGCTTGGTCTTTGTGGCTCTCTGACATCAGTAGCAAGCTACAAGTCTCTCACAAGTCTGAAATCAAGTGAATACCTTGCAAGTCCCACAACAGAGATGACAAGTCCAGGCTTAACACCATCTTGAGATGCACACAAGAAGGAAGAGCTTTATGTTGTATGCATTTGATTTATGTTCCATAAGATGACTTGCAGTGAAGACTGCTAGTTCTGAGTTAAAAAATAAGCTGCTTTATTTTTTATTGTCATGGATGCCTTTATAATTCACAAATTTGATCAGTTTTCGTTTGCTTTTTCTTTCCCCCAGAGGACTTTTCAGATACTCTCTTTTAGTCTGGAATTATTTAAATCTCTTGTTCAGGTACAGAATGTATAATCTGATGTTTATGACTGGTTTTTAAAATGAAACAGTTGGAAATCAGACCCATACTTAAATGCCATCAGCTTTGTTTCTCCTTGCACTAGCCTGGATCGGCTCTAGCCACTGTACTTTGCAGTGCTTTAAATATTTATCAACTCCTGCAGAAGAGACAGGGAATCCTGAACACCAGTCTTTGTAGGCAAATAAATACCTAAAAATCCAGCTTTTCATCTGTGTATGTTGCTTAGGACCTCAGATAGCATATTTAACCTATCAACAGCTTCTCTCAAGTTGACTCCATGTTAGGTTTTGCATTCCTGTTAACATCATGGCACTTAGGAGATGTCCCAGTCACACTGAAACACAAACACTTGAAATTGCATGTGAATAACAAATGTAACTTGATCATATAAATCAAGCATACACAGAGATTTGTAAATGGTGAGCAAACTCACTAAATTCTTTTAAGTGGCCTGGGTTACAGATAAACTAACATTATACAAAAAGTTTCTTGCTGAAAAGATGGGGGCTATGGATGATGGGGGTAAGCATCTTGCAAAGTTTGGATTCTGTGTTTGTTGGCAAGATCCCAAGGAGAGTGAAAAAGGGGAAACAATGTGATGACTGTATTAGTGTGTTAAAGGACTTTTCTCATCCCTGTAGTAGTGCAATAGGTATTTTTCTTGCTTAGGTAATACAGCAGAAATTCTCTAAGTCAGTTTTCTCAAATTATTTGCCATTGATTTAAATTACTGATACGAAAAAAAGGGAGACATTTTTTAAAATGTAACTAACTTTCCAGATCACCCTACAGTTTCAAAGTTTGCAAAATAATTTTTGAATTGCAAACTATATTCTTAATTCTTTGTAAGATACAATGGATACTTTATCTATGAATTTTGGTAATCAAGGTAATGCTTATCAGTATGATTAGTAACTTTTTAAACAAAAGTGAAATGCATGTAAGTATGTTGTATTTATAAGTGCTAGGGAAAATGCTTTTTTGTGCCAAAGAAGTTTCATAAATTGTTTACATGAGTAGCTGCAATACAAGACAGATTTTTAATTATTGCTTACTCCTAGGTGTTTACAGTATGTCACTACACTCTGTACAGGTTTAGTTGATTTGCCTCTTGTGATGATACCTTGGCACTGCTACTTTAAACTGGTCACCATAGGGTGGGCTTGAAAGAAAGAAGATTCATTCTAACTTTAGCTGAAATATTTAGTCTTTGTAAGTAGGAGTAAGTATGCATTTCTGGAACTCAAGGCATTGCTGGATTTAGCTGGAGGAAAAGAATCCATCTCCTCAACTCTAGTCCATGCTGCTGGAGGACACTACTCCCATGGCAGGGTACACAACCAGTGATGCTATTTTAATGCAGAATTTTAAGGTAGTTTAACAAAACCACCAGGTCTTTCAAGCCCTTGTGTACCCACACAGGTAATTTCTCTGTAATAAATTCTGACCATTAAATCCTTTCATAGACTTTCAGAATGTCCATTACTTCATGGAACATTTTTTGTTATCACATTAAGCACCTGTTTCTTGAGTAACATTATTATATATAAATTTGTAAATTAGAGATACATTTTTACTACAAATAAAATGCTGGAATCCAGATTCCACAAGTTGACATTCTGCATCAATGTACAGTGATTTAATCAGTCTTGTTTGCTGTTAAATACTTTTCATGCCACATCAGTGTTTTGGAGGGGGCAGTCATCATGATCTTCAGTCATGTTCGCTGATGGCTCTTTTCTTAGAGCTAAATGTGTTGTTTAGCTGAAGTCTTTTATGTAGTCTGACACGTGTTTCTGGGTGTCATTTTGTGCATGGGCAATCAGTTATGTGCATCTTTCTCAGTTCTAAACATTTACCATTTTTTTGAAAAGAATTTTAAACCGCCAAAACTGTATGTTTTGTTGCCTTGACATAAATGTTCCATAAATGTTGCATGTAAATTAAAAATTTTGTATCATCACTAGTTACAAGTTGTCTCTATTTTAATCACACGGGATAAAGTAAGACCATTCTGTAAATTACAGCATTACTGAGTTTTTAGCAAATACTTTTCTTGCACAAGGGGGAGACTGGTTTTCTGGCTCTGTATCATTCAGTGTCATCCAATATCTGCTGCTACTATGTTCTCTTAGGCCTTATTTTGTAAATTTTCATTCAGAAGTCACAGTGGAAGAACAGTGTTAAGCATCTCCTCTGGCTCTTGCCTAATGTGGTACATAATGTCTTAACAAGTAGAGCATTTTTCAGTGTGTGAGGAATTTTCACCATGGCCTGAACTCCATTTCTTGGGTAAAGCACATCCAAATGTCAGTGTCTTAATGATCTGACTACTGAGTTACTTTTGTATCAGCACCCCCTCATTAAAATACACCAAAAAAATAGAATTCAACAGCTGCATTGAAAGTGCATGAAAAGAGGGAGGTAGTGAGGGTAGTTAAAAAGGATTTAAATCATACAGAGGCAGCTCTGATTTAGTAATTTGAGTGCCTACAGACAAGTGCAGTGCTGCAGTTGTCCCTACCAGGAGTGCAGCACGCTGGGGCAGAGGGTGGCTGTGCCTGTGGCAGCAACCTGCACTCGCTCTTGCCTTCAGAGGGGCGCAGGGCTGAGTCAAGCTGGCACACAATCACCTCTCGTATGCCAGCAACCCCAGCCTTCCAAGACAGGTGGCCCCACACAAAGTGTGCATGGCCCAGCCCTGCCTGGGAGCAGTGTGACAGTGACAACTGGCACCTGCCAGAAACACGTGCAGGAGTGTTCCTGCAGAGCACCTGTACAGGCCTTTGGCTTCAGTGTATAGGTGTGCTTTAATTTCTTCCAGTATTACCTTAAACAAAAACCCCTGCTGCCCCACCAGTGTGTGCACCACGCTCTCTCAGTGTCTAATAAACATAAGTATTTTTCCAATTTTACAGAATTTTTCATTTAAAATAAACCTGAGAAGCTTTTATAAAATGCACTTACACAAAATACAGAGCTGCAAATAACAAACGTACAGAATGAAACACATAACACGCAGCAAGAATAAATAAGTATTTATTGAATTTGCTCTGTATCAACCTCCTTACTGAGAAATAAATATATCTTACAATTAGAAACCCAAAACATTTTAAAACATAATTTTAAAACCCAACTAAAATGTTTAATCATGACTGAAAATTTAACACAGTGGAAGTCATTATTCTTCATTGCTATGTCCAGCCTCAACTTTTCTTCTCTTCCTCCTTTCTTTTTTCTTTTGTTCTTCCTTCCTTTCTTTTTTCTCTCCAGCTGCAAGAGAAGTCATAAAATCTTCAATGATAGTTTCAGGGTGATGTGCATTTTCTTATTCTTAATAAAAAGAGTGAATTAATCCTTTGTGAAAGTTAGAAATGAAGCTTTATTTAGTTACCAAATGTGACGGTAGAAATTCACTGGGAATTCTAAAAAAACATCTTCACAGATTTAAATTTGGCACAACTTCCATCATATACTTTGCCTTCATACAACTGGATGCAGAACAATTATGGATGTTGATTCTTTTTTTCATTTAAATGAGAAAAGAAAGACTTTCCATATTCATAAGTGCTGATCATTATGGCACAAGCAGGAGCAACTTTAAACAGCCGTGGAGTAATACCTGCCCAGAAGAGAAAGGGAAGTGTTCACTACTATTTGTCTTCAGACCCAAGTGCTGCAGTACAATGTGTTGATCACAATATATCAATACCATAGTATATCAGTTTAGAGCTGGGATAGTACCTGCTCACATGCCTCAAAATACTGAATTTACTGGCTGTAGGTATTACCAGTGTAATAACCTTACGCCCTCACCTCTGCTGTTCTGTGTGGTCTGCCTGCCTCAAGCCCATTGTGTCTCTGCTCTACCAAAATGAAGAATCCTGGTCACGTGAATAAATGATGGAATTTAAGTGTTAAATGTCTCCTATTATAGTCAACTGTGATCTTGCCAGTGGAGGTTAGAAAGTGATTCAGTTTAGAGGAAGGGAAATAAGGCTGAATCCCCTTTTCCACACACAGTGAGCCCTCTACTTCCACTTGAAATGCAAAGACGTCTGCAGAGAGCCAACACAGATGACACACGACCCACAGAGACCTTGTGTGACTTTGGAACAGCAGCAAGGAGCCAGGCAGGCTAACCCCAGTCATCTCAGCTACGTGTGGCCAACTGAACTGATCAAGAGCATCTCTGAAGTCTGCTACCCATGTGTCAAGACTGAAGTGTGAGTGCTTTAATCTATTAACTGAATTCAATATCAATTTTAGTGATACTTTGTGATGTCTTGCATTCTGTTAGCATCCAGTGCTCTGAAATATGCAAATCCTATTACCCAGCTATGCCATCACTGTACAGTGAGTAAAATCTCTTTCAGCAAATAAAGTCTTGCAAGGCTTAACCACCTGTGCAGCCATTCACACAAGGGCCCCCAGTGAGCCAGTGCAGTGTGGTGAAGGCTGGTAAGTATCCTGGATTTGGAATGTCTCTTGCTGATGGTCATTTCAGTATGAACTACAATAGGATTTTATCTCAATATTATTTTTATGTCCCTATCTTGTCATTTCTGCCTCAGGCTGCCAGAGTCATGCAGGAGAGGGCCAATGTTTTCCCTTGTCTTCCTCTGATCACCAACATACCTATAGAAGCTTTTCTTGTTGCCCTTGACATCCCTGGCCAGATTAATTTCCTAACCTGCTTTCTGTTCACTTAGACCATTTCTCTGTGACAGGTGACCTGTCCTGGCTTCCCTATGGTGTCTGAGCTTGTCCAGAAGCTCCTTCTTCCTCCATACAGGCCTCCTGGAGTTTTCACCTGACTTTGTCTTTGCTGGGATACATTGTTCCTGAGCCTGGAGGAGGTCATTCTTGAATATTAACCAGCTTTCTTGGGCCTCTCTTCCCTCCAGGACTTTATCCCATGGTACTCTACCATGAAGATCCCAGGAGAGGCCAATGTCTGCATGTCTGTTGCTTTATATATGCAAACTATCGCATAACTGACAGTGGTCACAGAAATGGAAATATATAATTTATGCATGTTAACATCTATGATTCTGATCACCAACATACCTATAGAAGCTTTTCTTGTTGCCCTTGACATCCCTGGCCAGATTAATTTCCTAACCTGCTTTCTGTTCACTTAGACCATTTCTCTGTGACAGGTGACCTGTCCTGGCTTCCCTATGGTGTCTGAGCTTGTCCAGAAGCTCCTTCTTCCTCCATACAGGCCTCCTGGAGTTTTCACCTGACTTTGTCTTTGCTGGGATACATTGTTCCTGAGCCTGGAGGAAGTCATTCTTGAATATTAACCAGCTTTCTTGGGCCTCTCTTCCCTCCAGGACTTTATCCCATGGTACTCTACCATGAAGATCCCAGGAGAGGCCAATGTCTGCATGTCTGTTGCTTTATATATGCAAACTATCGCATAACTGACAGTGGTCACAGAAATAGAAATATATAATTTATGCATGTTAACATCTATGATTAAGAACTCTCTAGTCTGATTTTTTTTTAGTGATAGGAAAAAATTTACCTGCAAATAATCCAGCAATCCCATTTCTAGCAGCAATTTTCCTCATAACTGCCCAGGTTGATTTACTGTCCCTCTGTGGAACTCAATATAGTACAAGACAACAGTGAATTAGGCAATCCATGCAATACCACAGAATGATATTTTTAGAAATCAGAGACTGTTACAGATGTAATTGTTAGGTTTAATGCCTTTTTTGTTAATTTTATCCATCTTATTTATACAGTATGTTAAATTAATACAGAATGCGAATACACAAGTTGAAACAGCAAGTAATGGAAAAGACCTGCAGTAAAACCTAGAGTAAGATATATTAACAGCTACTATAATTTTTACTGGATTGCTGATACAGGTGAAAATATATTCTTTAGGAATATCCCACAGCCCTTGGAAGCCAAAAATATTTTTGCAGTCACAGAGAGACAAAATGTTGATGCATAGTCAGTGTTCAACTCCAACAGTAACTGGATTTGGAAAGAATTAAACTGGAACAAATTAAAGATTACCATAATGGAATTTTAAAAATATAAATTAATATTATTAATATTAACCTAATAAATATATGGCAGACACATGTTTCAAAGTGGTGTTAGGAAGGAATTGTTACATTCATCAGTACAGGAAAAGGATTAAAAACAGTAACTATTTATATTTACAACTTTTTTTAATACTTGTTCTGCAATCAAATGATAATAATTTTTTTCAAGAATTACTGTAGGAAAAAAAAAACAAAACTGAGAGAATGAAACCTCATGCCAAAAAGTGAGCACTTATTTTCTAAGCAAAAACTATTTGGATACTCAGCCTTTTTAATGGTCTGTAATCTTAAAGCCATGATATAATATTTATTTAGGTTAATCTAATTCCTTCACTGGTCCACATCCCAAGCAATGGAAAAAAAGGTATTATATACCACTTCAATTTGGATAAAACAGAGTACTGCTCTACTGACAAGAGCCAAACAGAAACTTCCTTTTTCATCCTTTAAAGATGTTGGGACATTCAATAATATGCCCTCAAAAATAATTTTTTTTGAAATCACATGAAAAGAAGGTAAAAAATACACAACCTGAGCATAATACTTTCTCTTTCTAGTCTAATATTTATCACAAGAATATTGCCATGTAGGAGTAAGTGGTAGTGAATGTTATTTTGAAGACTTTTTCAATAGATCACTGTTCAACAGATCACTGTTCAACTGAATGTTTGCTATGAAGTTACTTTTTTGCCTATTTCAATATAACTTACTTGAATCATAGAATAGTTTGGGTTCAAAAGAACCAAAGAACCTTTATTGGTCATCTAGTCCAACATCCCTGCAATAACCAGGAACATCTCAAATTTGCAATTGGTCTGCCTAAATGTAATAGCTTTGGATTCCTTTGTTTCAATTTTATACCATCTTATTAACCTATATTGTACTGAACTCACACCTTTTCCCTCTTCCATGTCATTAATGAAATATGGTATTCACCTAGGAGATAAAATATATCTCCTAGGAGAAAAAATATACTAGTTTGGGCAAGAAAAAATGCCTGGCTGATAGAATGTTTACATATACTTTAGAAGTGCCAAATATTTAAAATTCCTACCACAAACCATACCCAAATACTACATTTTATTTTTTGAAACACTATAGGGTTTTTTTTTCTTACCAGCAACTTACTTTTTAAGGTCTCATTCTCCCAAAGTTGAGTCTGCCTGTGTGTTTTCACTACATCAAATGGCTGAGTTACAACAGCTGCAATCTATAAGGAAATCAGTTGTAATGTTAGTGCACAAAAAATAAAAATTTAACCATATTTAAAAAAAAATTAAAGTGCACACACAATTTAAAACTAGATTTGATTTTCTAAGCACATGATATTTTTAAGTCTTGTATGTCAGAACATTGTAGTTTATTCAGATTTATTTAGTCAGGTTGAGTGCCACACCACATGTGTTTAAATACAAGTGCCCCAAAATATACAACATTTCTGAGAGAAATTTCCAAAATCATACATTTTAAAATAGTTTATTAGTGCTAATAATAAAGAATAGTACTAGAAATGAAATTATATACTTACAGAGCCAGATGCTGCTCCTGAAGTAAAAGAAACAAAAAATGTAGGTTCATTTGCACCAACTTTCTTGCACATCATCTTCTTGAAACGTTCATAATTATACCAATACATTGCTATGATTACAAAAAAATAAACTTGCATTACAACAAATCTGTATATCAAGTACAAAAATTCTTGTATCAAGTCCAGATGTAAGAATTCTACTGTGGCAAAAGAAGCAAAAAGAAACAAGAGCTGAAAGCATAAGTGTCCTGTGTGATAACCCATGGACAGATTGCTGTGTCCCCTTGTTGTCCATATCCCAAATTTCTTCATATGATACAAATTAGCCTAGTCATTTTGTCTTTCCCTTAGGTAACCCCTGCCTTCACACAATCTAACCCAAGCGCTACAAACTCACATTCAATTTAAAATAAATCAAAATTTAGTCTTCTAATTACTCGCTATCTTTTCAGGGATATTTCATAGATCTCAGTAATTCTATAAAAACACATTTCATACAAAATTAGATGTTGCTCAGGACTGCCTCATACTTTTTTGAGGCACAGTATAAAATATAATTCTGAGAGAACCAAAAAATATAATTTTCCTTCCTGGAATTACTAATAGGGAAATGCCTCTCTTGGGACTGTCAAAGGAAAATCCAGTAAACAACTTCTAGGAATAACATCTGTTTCTGTAACCATCTGCTGAACTAAACTGCACTTTTTCTGCTTTCTAACTACTTGCCTGCTCACTATTGGTTGAGTAGCTCTCAACATGCAGCTACTGCCTTACAGGTTAACTTGTGCCTCCACCATCATGCCCACAAAATACTGGGCACAGATGAGTGAGCAGCCACTGTCCAGGGAATGCCAGAGCAGTGTGGAAACTGACTAAAAATCAACAAGCCTGGCTTGGAGCAGTGGAGGAACAGCAGGTGTGGACACAAGAATCTGAAAAGGACTGAGAAGAATGCACATCCCCTTAGTGCCCTCTTCCTTGTGCACTCCCTCTGATCTTCCCACTCTGTTAAAAGCAGCAGGGGGAAGGAAGCTCACTAGCTCCAGCCACACCGCTACAGACAAAAATCAGTAAAAGAAATAAGAGTTTCTACTTGAAGTCAGACAGCAGGAATCAGGTGAAGAATCTGAGAGTTCCCTTACAAAGCTTAGAGAACAGCCTAAGAGAAAATTGCATTGGGCAAGAATAAATAAAAATAAAAATTGAAGAGGAAACTCTTCAGACAAAAGATTCAGATGAATTCTGGCAGTTGTCTTTAGCCTTAGTGAAACCATGTTTTCATAGGTTCAGAAGCCTTCCCTATCACAGAAGACTCAATTAAGTCCCATCAAGGAACTGGATCTTTAGGTGGGAAATACATTCCAATCACAATTTTCAAACACCTTCCAGTAGCTAAGTGAAAGAGAACAGAGCATTATAAATTCTGAAAAGAAGAGAGCTGAAATAACTTTATTCAGTTTATTCACTTAACTACCAACTGCAATTTTAAAGTGAATATCCTCATCACACCCCAGTTATGTCTCAGTTTGGTTCACAGCCAATTTAAAATTTACTCTGGGTACACATATCCTGTAACAGCCCAAACCAATGACTGGCCCACAAGATTGACTGGAAACACAAATTAAATTAGATATCAGATCATCTTAAGAGTGAAGTAAGACAACGGAGATAGCAGGTCAAATACTTCAAGGGTTCTCTGACTCCAAAACCAGGTTTGAATAAGAATCTTTCCAAAAATAGATTTGAAGAATTTTTCTGGGCCAGCATAAGGTGTTTAAAGATTCCTGGTACTACACCAATGACAGAAACTGTTTCAATGACAACTGATGTCTGATGATCCAAAAGTATTCTGACAAAAACAGGCCTTAAAGAGACAGGGGCTTTCTGGAGCTTTAGCAGTCTCCCCTGTAACATCTGTCCGAGTTACCTTAAGGAATAGCCATAGGACTTGTAACGCTTTGAATCAGACTTTTCTTCTTCCAGGCTTTTAGCTTTCAAGTCTTGCTAAAGAGTTTTTTGGAGCAGTTATACAAATGAATTCATCTTGATTTAAAAAAAAATAAAATCTTGAAGACACTACTGTGTCACTCTCTGTACATGTTTCCAAAATTATGTAACCACTTAGATACAGCATGTTTATCAAAAAATAGCCACTATTTCTATCACAGAGAAAATTTCCAGCTAAAACTCTTTAAAAGCAGTCATTGTGTAAGATGAAGATGAGAAGAAAGTGTCTAAATACAGAGAAAGGGAATGTAACAATGAATCCTATCTGGTATCCACAAACAAAACTGGGGGGGGCGGGGGGGATGGATGGATGGAAATCACATCTTCAGAGAATTTGTAAATAAAAATCCTCAAAGAGAAAAAGTAAATCTCAGTCATTCCTAAAGCCAACTATTAAAACTACCTAAAACCACAGAAAAATAATATAAAAACAAAAACAAAAACCTGCATGGGAAATAAACCTTACCTGAGAAAGGTACATCTCTCAGAATAGTAGAAGTCCAGCCCTGCCACAGGGAGAGCCACCCATCTACAGCCACTTTGGTGCTGACACGCAGGTACAGCTGCTTGTAGGATGACCTGCGATACTGCATTTGAGTTCTGATCAGCTCCAGGGGACTCACCACAGTGGCAGAACCAACTGCAAAGGAAACATGACTTTTTTAGAAAAATCAATACTTAATAGTACAATTTCCTAAACATTCAAGTCATGTCTCACTTTATATATTTGATTCTTTTCAACTCTCCCATTTTCCTTGAACTAATTCCCAAAATAATTTTCCTTTCCAACTGAGAAAAACATGCCTATTCGCAGTACCTACATTTCCAGTTTAGTGTGTTTTTTTCAATGCTAGCATGTTGTAAACAATGTAACATGTTGATAATCCTAATTTTTCAGATTTAACACATAAATAGGCTGAAGATTTCAAGTACTTAAACTCAATTATTTTCATTAGTTCCCATTTTAAACTGTAACTTGAAGAAAGCTATCTTGATGCTTAAGGCTTCTTTTTGTGTTAAGGACAGAATTGTGGTTACAGATTTAAGCTTTTATTAATTTCTAAGCATCTTTGCCACTCTTATTTTAAACTATCAAGAACGATTAGCAGGCAATCTGTATCTGATAAAGTAACTCTTGCATCTTGCACAATGGTCAGTGAGTCCTCATTCAGTAACAAGCTACCATCACACATCTAACAGATTTTGAAAATGTTACTAGATCTAAGCATTTTTCTTCTGTTGCTGGAATAAGGTTTTACACATGAACAGCCTAATAAGAATAATGTGCTACACCACCACGAATACCAATTCTTTTTCCACTATTCTGCCAGTGACCCCACGGTCGTCACAGGTAAAACATGGAACTGCATCAACAGACCCTTCTAAGAAAAGCCCTAAAATATATTATCTGAGTTAATTCTACAAAAACAGATTAAGAAAATGGTAAACAAAAGTAAGAAAATACATAAATTCTATCCACATCATACATCAGTAAAACCAGTACAAGTCCAATTTTCATCTTTGTTATAATTACCTATGTACCTTCCATGATAACAAATGATGATGTTTATTATTAGATTGATGGCATAACAGACTTAAATTAAACTGCCCTTGGAAGAAATCTAGAAATATAAAACTTCGAACAAATTACAAATGTAATGAAAGTATTTCCACAAAACCAAATCTCATTATTCCAGGTTAGAGGGTTGTGTTGCCCAAGAAATACTGGGTAATGACAGTATTCCTTCCTATCCCTCATTTAAACCCATAGCATATTTACTTTAAATAAAAGTCAACAAAATAAACCCAAAAAAACCAGCATAGAGGTATTATGTTCCAGATTTCTCTTTAAACAGAGGACAACTTACATCTGCTTAAGGAACCTGCAATAACTGGAATGTGCTCATCATGCTTTCCTGGTCTATTTTTCAAAGCTTCACACAGCTGATCATAGCAGGTATAATAGATTGCTGTAGTAGGAACAGCCATTATTCTAAAATATAAGAGAGGAAATTTAAATTAATACCAGGAAAGCAGGAGAATAAAGTCAACTGTCTTGTATTGATATTTTACTTAACTTTTTTAAAAAGTTAAGTTTTCAGCTGTGTGTAATGGATTAATAAAAAAACCCAACATTAATCCCATAGCTTTGATTCACTGCTTCTAGTTCAGAGTTTCAAACCCACACATCTCCCAGGTATTCACTTCATTAGGGAAAACCGTAAGTAAAATGATGGTAGATTATCTCAGTCAAAATCTATTCCATACCAGCTCCAGAACTATTTTGATAAAGAATGGGAAATGAAAGATCTGAAAATGAAGAACCCAAACAAAATATTACACAAGTACTACTAACCTTAATTTTTATTTATGTAACAATTGGATATTATGTTCTTGATCAACAGCCATGATACTCACTACTTGAGAGACAATGTAGTATGCACAAATATAACCTTTTTCCATACCAGCATAGTACAAACTGCAGTAGCAACAGGTAGATTCAATAATCATTCAGTGTAGGGAAAAAGCACCACATCTTACGATAATCTGGCAATTACACTTCTGTGTTATGTCTGTGCCAATACAGCATGTACCACCATTACCCAAAAACCACCGAGGACCGTCATGCTTGGAAAACCAACATGGCTTAGTTTGTATCTTCTCTTCTACTTGTGTGACTTTCTCCAGTAAAGAAGTTAGTTCTCTGCTGGCTGGAGAACAAAACACGTGCTTTGCAAAAAACTGTATTGACTGGAACAGTTCAGTCAGGTCCTAAGGTTTATATTTTGAAATTGCCACCTACTGGAGGGTAAACAAGGCTGAACTCTACCATGCTTTGCTTTCTTTGTGCCTATACACTGAGCACTGTCTGCAAATGAAAAGTGCTTCCCACTGGGCACTTCCCACTTTGTGCCTTACAAGACACAAGTTTAATACACATCTTAGATTTAAAAACTTTCTTGGTTTATGAAGGAGAACATAATTATAGAGATCTTAATTTCTAGCTATACTAGGTTAATATGAATAAAAAGATAAAACAGTTTGGAGCTGATAAGCCTAAAGAGAAGATCAGGAGGAGATCTGATTGCAGTGTTTAAATATGTAAATTGCTCTTGTAGAGAGAAAATGAATTATCTGTTTATCCAGATAGAATAAAACCCCAAAGTTCTTTGAAATAAAGAAGATGATTACGAAAATTAAGTGAGGGTAATGAAGTGCAACACCAGAGTGTCTGGAAACAGCTGTGCTGCTGATAGCAAGTCATTAAGTAACAAGATACAACAAGAATGTGTTGAAGACTGACCCTCTCAAGGGACCAGGTCCCATCCTGTGATTCAACGATGCTATCAAAGGAATGGTTATAGTAGGGGGAAAAGAAAAAGCAGAATGAGAAGTCTATTGATCCTGCTTAACTACAGAGAATGTATCAGAAAATTCTAAAATCTGACAAAAATTATACTGCCCATAGACATTTCTCATCAAACTGATAAGTCTGTAACTTCAGAATTGACCAGTTTTTTAAAAATAACTTAGAAATAAGTATAGCAATTTCTCAAAAATAATTAAGCAATTTTTTTAACAATAACTTACAGCACGTCACCAAAAAAACCCATTCAACTTACAGTGTTGGGGGAAGCCCACTCCACAGCGACTTAATTCCCTCTATTCGAATAATTTTCACAAATGCATCCTAAAAATATAACCAGGCAAAGAGCAATAATTAGCTACGAACTTTTGTAGTTAGTAATACATTTTAGCTGGCAGAACACAAAACTAATGTTTATCAGTGACTGTCAGCCCTTTTTATAACTATTTTCAGTACTAATATTATATTGCAGCAATTTGTGGAAACTTCCCCAAAAAATCCACTAAAATATTTTTGCAATATGTAGCAGAGTTTCTAGGCATGAAATAGCAACTAATTCTCAAAGATTCTTCAATACTTCCTCTGACAATGTGACCCCCTACATGCAATGTGTATACACTATACCATATACAAGCTTTCAAATATTATTACAGCTGTCCAGTATATTGCCAGGAGACTGACAGCAGAAGAACACAAAACCTTGAAGATTATTCAGCAAAAATCACAAGGAAAACCACAAACTTTGTAATATCAGGGTACTAATTTTCTTAAAACATCTGGGGAAAGAGGTTGGGATTCAATGGATTAGAATATGCCTAAGACCAGACATTATTACAGAGTCCCAAAAGATAGAGAGTCTGGCAGACCACAGAAAGGACTTAGAGGAAGAAAAAAGCAAATGGCTTTAAAGGAGACAGCCTTGATGGATTAATCATGTGAGGTAAAAAGCTGAATGGAAAAAACAAAGAAATGGTTTATTACAACAAACCTGATTAGCTTTGAAAGGAAGCCAAGAATCCCTAAAGGTCCTAACATGGTTTAACAAAAAAGACACTTTTATACTAGCTGGTTACTACCTTTATAGCTTCAATAAGTTTACAAAACAGGAAGGCATAGATAAAAGATAAGACTAATTTAAAAAAAAAAAAAAAGAAGTTATATGATAGTCATTCTTCTTTACGAATCAATTTGTTACGGCAAAACTAGGCATAAATTCATGTACCATAGAAAACTAACTGAAACTAACTAACTTTCTAAAATTACATAGTAAAGGTAATTGAAAAAATCACACTTGTAAAGTTATTAATTAAAAAAACCCTTTTAAACTGCTGAAGACACCTTTTGCATTAACATTCCATTCTCAAGATTTTAATTCTGAAAAATTCTTGATCATAGGTGTAACTTCATGGTAGAGTCAAAAGAAAATTAGACTAATGAACCAGCATGACAGTATCTGCCAGCAAGTCTGATTCAAGTGTTCAGGAAAATGCTAGTCCTACAAGTCTAGTACTTGATAGGATAGAGACTTCTTTGGATAGAGAACTTGACACATGAATTTAACTTTAAACACTATCTACACCATTAGTTCAGCTCAGAAGCATACTGGGAGATGTGTGGGCACAAGGGATGTAAGCAGGAAAGAGAAAATTAGTACCTGCAATCAGCAACTACTGCCAAAACAGCTGAAGTGGGGAAAATAAAATCATAAAGCCAGTAACCTATGAAGAGGGCTGTGCAGCTGCCTCCTTGTTCATCTTAAGGAAGGAATATGTATTTTTTTGCAGACAGTAGAAGGTATCATCAATCAGCAGTGTAACTACATGAAGACCCTCTCAAATGATTACAGATTCCAGTAGAACCTGAAAAAACCTGAAAACTTTATAGTATGCTACTTAAAAATGCACAGTTTTATATACATGTAAAATGTTCTTACCAATGTCCCTTTGAAATGCCCAGGTTTTTTATACCAGGCTTTGCTGTCCCCATTTTCGCAAACATATACATGATCCATATGGCCACTGGAGTATACGAAACACTTTCCTAATAAAATGGTGTATACGAATATAGTTAATGCTTGTAAGATTGTTTTTTACCCAGAAGCAATTTCAAATTGGATATAATGGCAACACAGACTTATTTCTGGTTAGACACAGAGGGGCAAAATAATTTTGCTAAGTCAGTAATGAAAAATTAGGTCAAAGGAAAGAGGGTACAAATGTAACACTCAGACTGCCAGCTGAATGGAACTGCCTTCACAAGGCTCCAAGAGACATCTTTAGATTATATTACCATCTGCTGAAAGGTAAAACTAACACAAGACCTGAACGTCACTATTGCATGCAACTGTGAACATCTTTCAGACTTTTAAATCTCTTATTAAGAAACATCAGCATCCACTTCAAGTGGAGATACTGTACCTTATCTGTATTATTATTATGTCTTTGTCTGTATTTATACTAGATCATCCCCTCCATTTGTTTTTCTTTCTCCCACATTATATACTTTCAACCTGTTTGATAAAATATTATTGCCATTACAAAAACATACTTCAAGCTTCATATTTACAGATTTCTGAAGGCTTTAGAACTTACTCAAAAGCAGGACAGAAGGCACAAGTATTTTTCCTAATTTGATTTGCAAGTGTGACTGCAAATACTCACCTCCACATTCAACATGAAAAACCAGTCATCTTCTTTTCTTTTAAATCTCATATACTAAGTACAAGTAAATAGTAAGAACCATTAGCACATCTTTGACAGCACAATATCTTCATCTATTTAGAGCCCAAGTGGCAAGTGACTTGTTAAGACTTCTCCATTTCAAAAATCTCTGGATTCTGGAGGAGATGAACTTTGATATAACATCCTGACCACATAAGCCCTCTGATGAAATATTTATTCATTTACTAACAGCTTTTTATTGTTTGACTCAACTCAGTATTAGTTGTACGTTCTGCCATAATGAAAAGACTAAGACAGGAAAAAAAAGCCTGTTTAAAATGATATGGATGTATGGGATTTTTTCTACTGTGTTTAGTACATACTGGTGTGCTGCTTTTTCCCCCCAGCCACAGTTATATTGGAGAAACAAACTCAAACATTCTGCACCTCAGCACAGAATTATGACAACTATCAGCTAAACACAAGAGCAAAAAGCAAACTGTGTCCCCCTTTACTCTACATACACATTTGTTTGTTTACCGTCATGGAATGGATTCCCTTGGGCTTGCAGTCGAGTTTTGATAACATCAAGAGGAGTTACTAAAATGAAACAGAAGTCATTTAGAAACACCCTGGATCCCCTGAAAAAGTAAGAAGTTTACAGATGCCTTATCATGAACTTCTAGAACCTTTTTTTTGTTTTCAAAGCGGGGGGGGGGGAACCCCCCCCACCTAACAGATTTCACAGTGTTATCAAGCAGAGTGAAAAGGGATGTTAGCAGACAGAAACAATGCTATCACAGACAAAGGAGAACTACACACCCTGTATGGTTTGCAAGATATCATATCTATCTTTTCTAATTTACTAACAGTTGCATAGGCATGAAATATTAGAAATACACAAAGCCCATTCAAAAGCTACTACATCATTGTCTGAAATTGCTTTTCCAGTAGCATACCACAAGGCATGCAAAATCACATTTTGGCCTCCGGCATATAAAATAGCACAGCATTTTTCATGTGTTTGCTCTTTTTCAATTAACTGACCATACAATAACTTTCAAAAAACAAAAAAAAAGTTAAATTCATAATGCACTTTTCTTTTTTGCTGCATGTAGCCAATATGTAAAACACTGGGGTTCTTGAAAAGTAAGTGAAGGTTTAGTGAACGCTTCACTGCTTCCACTGCAGCCCTTACAACTATCACAGGCTGAGACATGCTGAATGCTGCAGTGGCTGGGCAGCTGGACCATCTTCCTCTGAATCTATCAGTTGAGGGTTCAATTCCACACATTAGTGGAAACATACATAAGCAGACATGATGCTGAGTCAAACTGAAGAGCAATCACTTTGTAAGATTCTCTCTGTGGCCAGCTTCATAGTTTGCCTTACCAAATAATGATGTAAGTATAGCTCCACAACAAGAGGCTATTGCTTGTTGAACAATGGTTAGTTTTTGTACATTGATATCGCTCATTTCAGCCATGGCTTTATGCCCAGAGAAGAAAAACCTGTTAAGGAACAGAAAAACATATTGTAAGACTACACTCAAAATTTGCAGAAAAAAGTCAAGGAATAAATATCTTCAATTTTCATTACTAAGTTATGTAGAACCAGCAATACTAGTTTTCTACTTATATAGAAGCATCTCAGTAATTTTTGAGACTGAGCCATGTTTTGCAAGTAAGTTTTTAAAAGACAATAAATCTCCAAAATCCTTCTTAAATTAATCACAAAATTTACATGTTCTTGCAAACCACATGAAATGTTTAACACATATTGCCTTTAATTGCAACAAAGTGTTTACAAACATGCAAATAATCCTTACAAAGATAAACTCCCAGCCTGTGGCCCATGAACTGAAGCACTGCAGAATAATTGACCCAGCCCATCTCTTGCTCCCATCTCTCCTGGGAGAGCCCAGAAAGGTCTCCTGGCTGACCCAAGAGCCACAGCCTGCTAGTGATGACTGTGTGCCCTGACATGCTCCTCTGTAATAGGCAGGGACTAACTGCTAATAATGCTACCATCAAATGTTAATTCCTTGAACGAATCCTGCTCTACAGCAGCATAGGCGTGGTCACAGCAATTTAGGAATGCATTCACAATATCTGCAACTAGCCAGGACAGAAGAAGATAGTAAGAAGACTTCAGAAAATAAAATCCCCAAATAGAGGTGTGTCTTTCAAAATGCACCACTAGGCTTAAGTGCAGCCCTAACTTTGTTAGAAACATTGATCTAAGCTTTTCATTGACTTCACAAGAATGTTTTGTTATTTTCACTAAGCTTCAAGTTAGATAAAAAAGATTAAGTTGGACAAACCAACTCTGGCCTCCCAGGTACTAACAACTACAACGGTAGGTGGGAATATTGTTTATTTTTTACGTATCTTTGACTAAGGAGGGGACCGCTGCCCAGAATTGCGTACATACCCATTTATCGGTGGCGCCCGCCGGGGGCAAAGGTCTCTGCGACTCAAGCACAGCCCGGGCTGTGGCGAGGAGAGAAGAACGCCGCCACTCCTACCCCTCCTCCAGAGCCAAGGCAGCCGAGCTCCGTCCCCACAGCTCCTTCCCCTCCTTCCCCTGCCTTCCGCCCGCCCCTCGGCGGGAGGGGCCGGGCCCGCGCGGGCAGTTGGTGAGGGCGCCGGGGCCGCTGTGGTGGAGGCGGGAAGGCGCTGTGGAGCGGCTGTGCCGATCGAGGGGTGCCGGCGGGGCAGAGCACGATGTGACTCCGCGGGAAGATGAAGCCGGGCGCTGCTGAGGCCGCCGACAAAGGAGCACGTCCCCGTAAGCGGCATGGGGCTGTGGGTAGCGCGGGGGAGCTGCCGCCGTTCGGGCCTTTCTTAGCCGGTGCCGCCATCCCGGCTGGGCTGTGAGGCGCCGCAGCCCGCCTCGTGCCGGGCCCGGGCCCCCGCCGCCCCCGGGCTGGCGCTGCGAGCGGGGGCAGCTGGAAGGGCCCTTGTGTGCCTTGGGGAGTTACAGGTAAAAGCGTGTCCCTGGAGTGTGGGAAATGGCCGGGCCGCTGCTGGGCGAGCTGCTCCCCCCGGGCTTCTCTGGTATTTGTATGGAGGGCTCCTTAGGCCCAGGCTGTGAGAACGCACCCCCTTTGCGCGAGAGACTCTTCACTGCTATTGCAGTCCTGTTAATGCGCTCCAGACTTTTGCTTATCCCTGAGAGGTTTAATCTGCGTGCTCCAATATTAATTCCAGTGTTTAGAGTGTTAATTTTTTAACGGCCCTGGCATGTGTGTGGTGAGCATAACACTGTATTTGATCCGTAATCATCTACAGAATTTTCCTATTTTCCTTGCACACTTGCTTATCATCCATCTTTTCTCTTTAGATTCTGGATCAGTTACACCAACTTGTGTCTCCAAATTTTCGTATTTCTCTAGGGTTTTTTTTTTTTCTTCCAGATCCTACAAAACTGACTGCTGTTCCTGCGTTATTTAGTGTGCTCATAAGCCTTAGAGGATTTTGCAGCATGAGTAGTGGTTCTACTCCCTTTCCTAAGACTGCTTTGGGGGGGAAGCAATCCTTAACGGAGGGAGTGTTTTGCATGTTGCCTTTTTGTCTCCAGAAGAGGCCTGCTCACTTCCTGTGGCAGCTCTCATTGTCTTGAGCTTCTCCAGAAGAGAAGCAACTAGGAGTAAGTCAGTGAGGAAGAAAGACCAATGTAAAACCAATATGTGAAATTGTGCTTTGAGCAACGTGGTCTAGTGAAAGGTGTTTCTGCTTATGGCAGGGAGGTTGAAATTAGATAATCTCTAAGGTCCCTTCCAGCCCAAGCCTTTCTATGGAAGCTTGCTCCATCCATTTCCGTAATTTAGGAATTTTCCCTTTCAAAAATAAAACCAAAGTCCAGTTCTGTTTAAATTGCCTGCAATTTTTTTTCCTTATTTCCCCAGAAGATGGAATACAAGCAAAACCAGAAAAGATAAGATCTTCCCTGAAGAATGTGAAGAAAGACACGGGAAAACCAGAGAAACTCAAATTTAAGCCGCTCACTGGGAAGGTGTTTTACCTCGATATCCCATCAAATGTGATCTCTGAAAAATTAGGAAAGGACCTCAAAGAGCTGGGAGGTGTAAGTTAGTAATAGAGACTTGTATGAACCTAGAAGGAAATGTGCACACGTGGAATGCCTTTTTTGTGTTCTTTGTAACTGCATTTTAATGTTATTTGTAGTTACCTGAGATGGTGTCTTAATTTTCTATGTTTGTCTTAAACTAGTCCAAGTGATGAGCTTATCAGCAAATTATTCTGTAGATTTTCAAGAGAAGCTGCTTTCCTGATTGGAACAAAAGTTCTTATTAGGAAGTTTTTTGTTTTCAGTTGATTATTCACCTGGCTTAAAATTTTATCCAAATTCATTAGGTTTCATTGTGTGAGGCGATTTTTCTTCTGCTGCTTCTGACTATATTGACATGTTTACATGTTACAACTAACAGTGTTCAGCTGAACCTGAAGGAGACTAAAGGAAGAGTTTTGTATCTTGTTTTCTGGAAGTCAGCAACTTCACTAGCAATGTTTAGTACAGAATGTCTTAGTGAGTGTTTTTGAATACTCTTACTTAATAAGTTTTATAAGCATCTTACTAATTTTTTTCCTGATTCTCCTTTCAGTATGGAAGGAGCTCTTTGATACAAGCAAGTACAGGATACTCGTGTGGAGGGCACTTAGAAGTGCCTCTCTCTGTATATCCTGTAAAAGATTCATAGAGCAGAATTGAAAGGCACAGTTTCAAGCTGTGTGATTTGTGCTTTCCACACTGATTAGTGGAAAAGAGGAAAATACCTCAAACTATACAATCTGACATGAAATAACAAGGCAGATAGCTGTTGATGACACTGTAGATGGCAATGAAAGAAACTGAAGGAGCACAATGGAAGAGTAAACTCAGAATGATGACATTTTTTATATTGCTGAGTATGAGAATATGAATCTTCTTAAGACTTTACTTTTTGAGAAATGTTATGAAAACTGTAGTGTGAAACATGGTACCTCTCCTGAAATTTTAGTTTTTCTGCTGGTTCTAAACTAAGTAAATGTAAAGCTTCTTGCAGACTGTAAATCACATTTGCCAACATCTGCCTTTAAATTTAGATGAACACTTCTGTGTAATTTCTGTTACCTAAAATTAGAGAGAGTTGTTGCCTTGAATTAATATGTTATTCCTCAATGCAGTGTTTGCATTCTTGTAATTGGAAAGTATTACAGGTAAAAAATAGTAGTAATTATAACAAAGCAAAGCTCTTTTAATAATGATTACAAATTTAAGAAATTTAAATTTGAATTTGTGACTGGTAAGGTGCTAGTACACTTAATTGTCGTTGTCATCCAGATATTTAGAAAATATTTTCTTGTTAACTCAGTGTTTTTGAACTTAATTGTTTTAGAAGTTTTATCACTTTCCTTTAAAATATTCAATGTAAAATTGAATTACTGATCTATTGTCCTGAAATAATTACTTGTTTTATATCTTTATATTTAGAGAGTGGAGAGTTTTCTTAGTAAAGATATCAACTATCTGGTGACTAATAAAAAGGAGGCAAAATTTGCACCAACTCTTGGCCAGATTTCTCCTGTCCCTAGTCCGGAATCTGCACCTAATGGAGGAAATGGTTCACCTCATCCTAGCAACCGAAAAGATCGACATGATGGCAGTTCATTTAGGATAGTAGACACAGTAAGTTTCTTACTAATAATACTGCAGATCAGGTGCAATCCATGGGATATGCTCTTACAGTTTTTCTCTGATTTTGTTTCCTAAAGGTGGCAGCAGTTCCTTGGGTGAATAAGGGTTTTTCTTTCAAACATTCTTTTAAATTTATTCAGGCTAACTTATTAAACTTACCTAGCTCAAACTAATTCAGCAATTTTTTCAAAACTTATTTTAAAAAGGATCCGTTTTTGCAAATAAGAGTATACTAAAATATGTTCTAATTTACTGTGTCTGACTTACTGCATTGATGTTGTGTTTGACAGCTGGGTCGGGCACATGATGACATCCAGTGATTCCTGTCTCTTTAGCAACACAGCCTGTTAAAATCTGGCTGATTTGGTGTTGTTAGTGCTGATATCTGCAGAAACACTCTCTGATAGTAGTAGGAATAAAATTGAGCATTATGAATATTTAGTTTTTCTGACCCCCTTCTTAGGGGTTCACATTAATTGCAACAGTTAGTATCTGAATTTATGCAGGTTTATGTGAAGTTTCTTGCATGGGCAAGTCTTGTGTCCTTTCAAAATACAGTTGAAAGTCATTAGCTGTACTGTATATATAGTGCTTATTTAGAAACATGACCAGGCTGCAGGCTGGTCTTTTTATTGCATAGGTGAGGTCACCTCATTTTGCAAACAACCTGGGTAGGTAAAGGCAGCTCATTATGAATAAACAGCAAAAAGTAGAAAAAGGAAATGCAGTGGTGATTGAGAAGCAGGGGGTAAGGCAGAGGCTGTGATTATATTCATGACTATAATTTTCACAAGCCTAGCTGATGAAAGCTCATCTTTTAGTGTCTGTGTCACTGTCTGCTTATTCCCACCATCTGCTTTGTTCCAGCACTAACATTACAGTGGCCTTCTTTGGCTGAAGACTATTACTGGGTAGGGTTTTTTTGGTTTTGGGCTTTTTTCCCTTTCACTGTATCAACCGTAACCCTGTGAGAGGGATGCACGTTATTGAAAAATTTGCAATAGAACGTGCAAAAGGAGATTCTCGTAGCTAACATATGTTTTTTTTAAGAGCAATGTGAATTATCTCGCCTCACTACAAATGTGTTTCTGTTTTAATGTAGGTACGTATGAGCAGAGGAAAGTCCTTGGTTGAAAAAGCAATCAAAGAACAGGTAAACCAAATAATCAACAAACTTGTGCTTCAGAACCTTGGTGGTTTGTTTTTTTAGAAAACAAGCAGTAGCATAAGTGGTTCTAGGGAGAAGTCAGTCATGGAATACTCAGGCAGAAGTTGAGGGATTGTCCTAAGTGAAGTGTCAGGTATGTTTTCTGGGTACTTCCTGAAGAATTAAAAGTTTATGGAGTCTTAGGACAAGTAGTAACATTTGTTAGGATTGCTAATATAACTAGCATTTGAGAGGTGCTCTTGAAGTTAATGTATATATTCATGGCCTTCAGATCTTACTATAAAATGTGACCATAAAGAACAGTTTTGGTTTTCTGAAGGTTAAATGTATTCTTTTGATGGTGAGATGCTGTAACAAAGAGAGAGACAGAAGAGGAGTGTAGGAGAGTGATATTCTTTTGGCTAGAAGCAAAGCATCTGCATTTTAATCTCAGCTTTCATATTACATGTTATATTTTAAATTATTTTAAGTAATGACTATTTGTTGTTTAAAATTACTAATGTAATTTATTGCTTGCAGGACTTGATCCCCTCTGGTAGTATACTATCCAATGCTTTGAGTTGGGGAGTGAAGATACTTCATATTGATGGTAAATATTTTTGTTAGATGAAGCCTGACTTTAACGTGTAACATTAATTTAACGGTTCTTTGGTTGAATTCGAAATATTAAAAGTTATGTCAGACG